ATATGGTTAAATCTAAAACAAGAGTCTAGGCTCTGATACCAATTGTTACCCAAAAGACAACCTAAGAGGAGGGGTGAATTAGGTTTTTATAATTAAAATTAATAATACCCTAATAAAAATTATGACTAGCACAATAGATAAATATAATTAATGAAATAAAAATAATTAAAACAAGTGTCTTAACAACTATGTCAGTTAATGATTTTAGCACAGTAAAAATGTGAAATATAGTTATGGCAATTTAAAATAAAATAAAGAGATAAGGGAGAGAGAGACAAACAAATTTATAGTGCTTCGGATTCAACTCGGCCTACGTCCACTCCTCAAGCTTCACTTGAGATTTTCCATTATCTTCTAGTTTCACAGGGGTGCTAGCAACCTCTTTACAAATGGAGCAATCCTCCACAGATTTTACACAGACTTCAGAAGCCCAATCCCTTGCAAATCTTAGGTGATTCACAATCATTCTCAAGATTTCAAGAACACAGTGTTTGCAATACTTTTACAAGATGAAATGGTATTTTTGCTTTCAAAGAAAGCTTACAATAAATACCTCTCAAAGATAGATATATAAAATGAAACTTTTATTTTTCTGTAAATCTCACACAGGAAAGATGAGCTTAATGTTATAAGGCTCAGTGTATAATTTCTGAGAATAAATGTGAGTGATTATAGATTAAAGAATATTTTCAGGTTTTTTTTTTGTAACTTGTTTATATTAGAGGCTTTGGTATATATATTGAAAATTATAGCCGTTTATAACCGTTGTAGTCATTTGAATTTATAACCGTTTATAGCCGTTGTACTTCCATCATTACTATTTGAACCTTTTGACCTTTTGAACCTTTATAGCCATTATAGCCGTTGTACTTCCATCATTACTAATTTAAATATCTTCCACTTAAATCTTTTGAACTTTTTAGCCTTTTGAACCTTTGTAGCCGTTTATAGCCGTTGTACTTTCATCATTACTAATTTGAATATCTTTCATTTGAACTTTTTGAACTTTTTGGCCTGCTGCTGTGCTGGAATGTTTGAACCTTTGTTTTGGACTGTTTGAACTCCTGATTTAATCAAATATTAAATACATTCTAACAACATTTAGGATAAAGGTTTAGGTGAGAAATAATGAGACAAAATAAATTTTGATTCTATTTTTCTTTTTCAAATAAATCAAAACATAAAATTATCAAAATAAATGTTGATTATATTTTTCTCTTTCAAATAAATCATCAAAATAAATAAGTCTAACAATATAGAAGATAAAATTATTGGGCATTTAATCAATATAGTAATATAATCTTCATCTTAACTCTTTAAAAACATATTATATATGGCAGTTAAGCTAAATATTTAACTTTTTAAAATACAAAAAATAAAAATAAAAAGAAAAAGTCATTATTTGAGTTATTCATCAGTTTGATAATAGTTTAAAAGATCTTTTAAAAAATAAATTTAATTTTAAAATTTGTATCTACTTATATTGAATTTATCCCCCAAAAATATCTTGATTAAGATATTATTTAAAAAAAAAAAATAGTTGGTCTAATATACATGTGATAATTATCATGTAAGATATCTTCCATTAAAAAAATCTAAATTATTGTAATTAAATTTAGCCCACAAAGTTTTTTATTTTATTTTATCTAATAGACTCTAGGGGATTAAAATTAATGAATAATGCTTGGGACCCCCTTTTGGGGGTCACCCCCTCACCCCCCTTTGTCACGTGGCGGGTGGTGATTGGAGGAGCAGGAAAAAAAAGAAAAAGAAAAAGAAAATGTAACCAATGAGAGAGAGAGGGGTTAAAGGGGGTGGGAGGAAAAGGGGGATGAATCATTGTTGAAAATTAATATTTTAAATTTCTCAAAAAATTTAATTTTTAAAATTGGAAAATATACATGTTATAATACAATTGGTCTATTTAATGCTATCTAATTTAAAATTTTAAAAACTTTTAAATAAAAAATTCAAAATAAAATCTTTGCCATATTTAAGATAAATCATATTTGAATTGAATTTATTTTTTAAAAAATGTTTAAAATGAAATTTTAATTATGTATATTCAAAAAATATTATGTTGACTGATGTAACACTAACTACGGCCTCAGGTTTTTTTAAGTAACTTTTTGACTTTTTGGTTAAAATATGATGTAAAAAAAAAACTAGTATGTTTGGGATGACTTTTTGGCTTTCTACGAAAAGATGTGCAAAAAGTAGAGAGAAAAGGAAATCTTCGACTTCTTGGTATAAGTTGTTGACTTTTTGACTTTTTTAATAATTTTTTAACTTTTTAACTAAAAAAATCACTTGCCAAACGAAGCCTACATATACTATACTACATACACTATATGAAGCCCATCAGGATGTAGTAGTGTCATGTAAAACATTACGTCATAAAATACCCAGATATGAAAAAATTATTCAATATGCCATGTGATAATGCCCAAAGGCAATAAATAATTGTTAATGTGCTATTAAAGTTTAGTTATTTTTGTTAGATTTATTTATTTTGATAATTTATTTAATTATATTTCAATTTATTTAGAAGAGAAAAATAGAATCAAAATTTATTTTGATGATTTATTTAATTATGTTTTAATTTATTTAAAAGAGAAAAATAGAATCAAAATTTATTGTTCCATTATTTCTCACCTAAACCTTTATCCTAAATGTTGTTAGAATGTATTTAATATTTGATTAAATCAGGAGTTCAAACAATCCAAAACAAAGGTTCAAACAGTCCAGCACAGCAGCAGTTCAAAAGGTTCAAGTAGAAGATATTCAAATTAGTAATGATGGAGTGAAAAATATTCAAATGAATACCACGGTTATAAATTCAAATGAATATAACGGCTATAAATGTCTATAAGTTTCATTTTATATACCAAAGCCTCTAATGTAAATTAGTAACAAAAAAATCAGAAAATATTCTTTGATCTATAATTACTCACATCTATTCTCTGAAAAATTCTCTGAGAATTGTTCTTCAATTTTTGTTTACATCATCTTTTAGAAATTATACACTGAGACGTATAGCTTTAAGCCCATCTTTCCTGTGTGAGGTTTACAGAAAAACCAGAGTTTTATTTTTATATCTATCTTTGAGAGATAATTCTTGTAGCTTTCTGTGAAAGCAAAAACACATTATTTTCAACCTTGTAAGAGTGTAGTACATTCAGTGTTCTTGACTTAGAAAGTCTGTGTAAAATCTGTGGAGGATTGTTTCATCTGTGAAAAGGTTGCTAGCACCCTGTAAAACTAAATTATAGTAGAAAATCTCAAGTGAAGCTTGAGGAGTAGACGTAGGCCAAGTTGAAGTCAAACCACTATAAATTTGTTTGTCTCTCTTAATTTGTTTGCCTTCCTTTCCCTTATCTCTTTATTTTATTTAAATTGTCATAGTTATATTTCACATTTTCACTATGCTAAAATCATTAATTGAGATAGTTGTTAGAACACTTGTTTTAATTATTTTTATTTCATTAACTATATTTATCTATTGTGCTAGTAATAATTTTTATTAGGGTATTATTATTTTTATTTGTAAAAACGTAATTCACCCCCTCTTAGGTTGTCTTTTGAGTAACAATCTCAACATTAGATTTTGTCAATTATAAAAGAATAAAAATTGAAATCTCTAATTTTGAAACTCTGAAGAGAACTCTAGTGATGGGATAAGGAGTGGGGCCTACATGTGATGAGATGTGTGTCTATGTTTTTGTTTCTTTTTTTTTTTTCTCTTGCCATATCATTAGAGCTCTCTTTAGAGTTCCAAAATTAGAGCTCTTTATTATTTTTTATTATAAAATTATATTAGTTTCATACTTTGTACAATTTTTTTATAATTACGAAATCTAAATATATAATTTTAAAATTTAAAAGTAAGAAAATATCCAGTGTCTGTTTAATTAAAATTTATTTTTACATCAATATATAAATACCATTGATTCAATACTCTAAAATGGTAGCACTAATGCCAGCTCTAATGAGCTGGCAGTGCAAGAAAAAAGAAAACAAAAAAACAAAAACCAAATTATCACATCAATGATGGAGTCTACATTATGCCTTAGTAGTGTTGAATTAGTGGTCTGAAGAATTTTTCATAAATATAACCTCAAACTTATCAAAAGACTTGTGCAAATTATGGCACTCCCTTTGCTTGTGTCAATGTGCAATCTGCCAAGCTGCATTGGGGTGTCTTAAATAAGTGTACTTTTTGCCTTTTTAGACTAAAAAGTTGAGAAAAAAATATGAATATTTGGGTTAATTTTTTGACTTTTTATGAAAAAATATGTATTAAAAAATTGTATAAATAAGTGTATAGGGGAATAAAGTGATGGAATAGGGCGTACGGTTGGAAGCCTCGGACATAAATTAGTCGGTTCTATTTGATCCATGGGGGCCCACCACGGGTCCCGTTTTACTAATCGGAACCGTTGAATGTGTAGAACTTGTCGAGTACTATATGCTTGTAAAAAATCACGTTGATTGGATATTGATAGCTATCTGATCGTGTTAGTGTTTTTTGTTAACTGTTAACTATAACGCCATCAATTTTTATACAAAACTGATTTGATCATGTATTTACCGATATCTGATAGATGTGATTTTTTACAGGAATATAATACTAGACGAGTTCTACTTATTGACGGTTCAGATTATTAAAATGGGACCCATGGTGGACCCCCACGGGCCCAACTCTACCATCCAATTTAGTGAATATTTTACTATAATTTTTTTTCCTTCGGTCACTAACTTCACCATCTCGTCAGTACCAATCCATGAGTTTATTTTCTGATTTGTATTAATATGTGTATATTATTTTTTAATATTTTTTTAGGTAAATTAACTTTTTGGGTAATTTTTTATCTTTTTAAATTTTTCAAGGGTCGTCAAACTTGGCCTAAGCTACCAAAAGCTCAATAATGTCGAAAAACAGAAACAGCCAGGCTGCAACCCTGGTTGAACAACAAATCTCTCTCTCTCTCTCTCTCTCTCTCATTTCGTGAAACAAAATTTTGATTATTGTCACAACAATTCAAACACAACAGATGTTAACAGGAGATATCATGGCATCCTTACAATTCAGGCTCCTCATAATTATCAAACATCAAATTTTCATACAATGCATAACTGGCAACAACAAAAGAGCGAAACGAAATTCTTAGTAACACTACCCAAACAATGGCATGATACTTGAAACCAAGACACGGAATACTATGATGGTCCTAAACCAAAAAGCTGGTTCATTTGCCATCTCCACGAGAAGATCAAATTAAAGCATATATAAATCTCATTCTGACAAAGAATCATAGTGATTACGGATGACGGTGCTTGCTCCCACGTCGCTCATCAGAGCCTGAATCTTCAGACAAACTCGAATAAGAATGCCTGTGTCTGCTCCGTTTACGATGCCTATCAAATTCCGCATCATCCGATGAACTTGATTCAGAATGCTTGTGCTTTTTTCTCTTATCTTTTCTCTTCTTTGAGCTCTTCCTCTCATCATCATCATCCTCGGATGACCCATCATGCCTATCAAACTCAGCTTCATCTGATGGACTAGATTCTGAATGCTTGTGTTTCTTCATCTTATGCTCCCTCATCTTTGACCTCTTCCTCTCATCATCATCATCATCATCATCGTTAAAAGACCCATACTCTTTATTATACTTAGATTCAGTGCAAGTTGGTGATGACAGCCTACAGTGCTTCTTACTCGTGGACTTCTTTTTGGGTCTGCTAGAGGAGAAATTGGCCAACAACTCCCGGATGTTCTCTCCACTAAGCAATCCTACATATGGATGGGACCGACAAACATCTGTGCTGCCGTGATGTTGCACTCCACATGCGTTGTGCCCATCGCCACTCGTCCCACCAGCAACTCCCCCATCCCACACATGTACTATGCCAAACCGCTGCGTCTGCTTCGCCAACTTCTCTTCAAGGACGGTAACAGTTCTCCGCAATTCAACATTTTCCACTGCTAGTCTTTTGTTCTCTTCTTTCACCCTCAAAACACTCTCAGACCCACCAACCAGGCTTCCCCATTGCATCTCATTCTCTCTCTTCAAAGTAGCAACTTCTTCCTCCAACTTTGCTATAAGTTTGTCTTTGTCAACGTTTCGCATTCTACACTCCTTACCGGTCATCGCAACCTGCTCAAATTTGAACGACCAGTCATGCTCCGCAACGACCGGTTCGGACGTGCCAACCTTCGCACCCAACAGCTTCCCAATATAAACTGCATTTGGTCTGCTCATGATGGTTCGTCCACACATGATCCGAGTTGAAGGCACATCATCCACATCTTCATTGCTACCGGTACTGTTATCATGATTCCCTATTTCCACTTCACGGCTCAGCCCACTCCCCCCCTTCTCCTTCTCCCCGCCTAAACCACTGTGAACAGTGTTGTCCCTCAAATCGACGTGCTCTCCGCCAACCATATCTTCACCCTTCAATATATTAACCTCACGCTCATCAGCAACTAGCTGTCCTGGGCTCACCTACAACAAACACACAAACAAATGAGCAACATTCATCCCGTTATGAATTTAATTGAAGTTAATAATTCAGAAAATCAAATACCAGAAAACTAACAGCCTCAGATAACTTCACACCCCGTGCATTGGCCAGTAACTCACCAATGTTCCACTTCAGAAACCGCGGGAACTTGTGCGCACTTTTTGCTTCAACTATCGATGTGTGTTCACATAACCAATACTACAACACAGCCAACCAAACCACCAAACGCCCATCAGTTAACCAACCTCGTTTCACACACACAACACAACCATGAAAAGAACGACACAAATACCAACCACAAATTTATTCATGATACTTACCGGCAAAGCAATCACACATCCAGTCACTTTATGTGGTGTCCGGTGGAAATCCCTAATAGAAGACATCAACGAACTACGTATCGCACCAGCCCAATTGTATGATTTCATTGCATCCAGATTGTCCACGTACCGAATGAAAGTCCAGCTCACACTCTCTCCAGAAGTCGAAAAAAACAACTTCACACAAGCGTACAAGCAAAGTAGTTTCACAGTGTCCTCATAATCCCTCGGTGTTGTACCCTTTGCCGCTTTAACCAGCAAATCCTTTACAAGTTTCGTAGTAATGCGACTGACACCCTGGCATCTCCGTTGCACAAAATCCGATGCAGGCTTGGGGCTTGCCATCAACTCCAAGGATGCATCCCCACATTGCAGCCCAAACAACAGCCTCACATCCTCATCCGTGAAATCAACACTCTGACCACCAATAACGAATTTCCCCTCCCGTACGCTATAAGACTGTATAATGCTCACGACCATATCACCACCTTTCTTGAACTGGGGCAGCTGATTCTCCAGTATGGCCTTGAACAGCAACCAGAAGGGTGTCTTCCTTAGATGTACAAGGTGCAGATCTGTCCATTTCACCATGCGCATCATGTTTACAAGGCCTGTGATGTTGGAAGGGAAATTGAGCCTCTGTTTCGGACGTTTCATATCACCAACAGAATGAGCTGCATTCTTCGGTTGCTTGAACAGATTGCGTCCTGGCATGCTAGTCCCACATTTACCGGATGTGGACCCACCCTCCGCTTCTTTCGATTTACATTCAGAAGAACGTGTCCATGGACTCGACATCCAGTCAAATTCTGCAATCAGAAAAAAAACAGAGACATATCAGATATATTTTGACCCATTGTATGGCTATCAGACATACATAAGACAAAACACAAAAAAAAGAGTGCATAAATATCTTACGCATGACATGCCCACATACAGGAAAAATCACAATACACATCCAACACCATGAACTATTTTGGATGAAGAAAGCAGAATTTATTGGTCAGTTCTCCTTAAATTAAATTAAAGAGTGAATGAAGAAAGCCCAAACAAACAAACCCAGCAACAAAACTGAATTGAAAAAAAAAAAAGAAAAAAAAAATTTATCACTTTGGTTGTTTTTGGTTTTCCAACAACACTTTTCAAAAAATTTACCTTTTGTTTTTGTATTTTTTTATTTTTACTGAAATTTTTTAATATTTTAAATCATTTTTTTTATTTTTAGACACACCTAATATAAAAACACATAAAAAATATAGTTTTTGTGAAAAAAATCTTTTAAAAATTTGCTAAATACTAAAAATACAAAAAAAAAATATATATATATGAGAATTTAGTATATATATATATTTTAATATTTTTATGTATTTATTAATTTTTTAAATTTTTTTCACAAAATTTTAACTTTTTAATATATCTAAGGTGGATTTAAAAAATAAAAAAAATGATTAAATTTTTAAAAATATTCACTAAAAAAAATATGAAAATAAAAATAACTCAATTTTCAAAAAATTTAATTCAAAAAACTTAAACCGAGTTCGATGCAATTGAGGTGAGGTTTAAAAAAAATCAAAAACCAGAGGTTTCAGTTTTCTAAATTCAGTTTTTTGAAAATTGAGTATTTTGTTTTTCGTGTTTTTTTGTTTTTAGTGAATATTTTTACTTTTTTAAATGCACTTTACTTAGATGTATCTAAATAGTAAAATATTTGTGAAAAAATATTTTTAAAAATTAATAAATACACAAAAATACGAAAATGTACTAAATTTTCGTAATTTTTTTTTTGTATTTTTTAAAGATTTTTTCCACAAATATTATACTTTTTAAGTGTGCTTTTGTTAGATGTGTCAAAATTAAAAATAAATTGCTAAAAGTATTAAAAAGTTCACTGAAAACATTAAAATATAAAAAATTAATAAAAGTAAAATTTTCTAAATGGAACCAAATGAGGTCAATGAAATTGAGGTGAGGTATAAAAAAATAAAAAATAAAGGTAATTAAATGAAGGAGAAGACGGTTACCGTCGAGGAACAGATCAGGCGTCGGAGTCGGCCTCGCCAGAGGTTGTTCGAGTTCTCTCTCTATTTCTCTTCCACAATCTAAATCTTCTAGGCCATCGAAAATATCAGTAGACATGTTGTGGGAATACATGACCGTAAAACAGACCTTGAGCGTTCAAAAACCAACAAGGCAGCAGTCCAATAAATAGAGAGATCAGAGAGCTCGAGGTAGCTGGTTGGTTTGAACGGTTGTTTGAATGTTGGAATGACCGGTTTGAATGGTTGGATTGACAAAGGCTATGTTAAAAACACAAACAAAGGCTATGTTTATATTAAAAACACAAACAAAGGCTATGTTATAGTATGTCTTTATGTGGATGATATGCTCATCATAGGTAGTAATAATGACATGATTAAAACTACCAAAAAAATGTTGAATAAACATTTTGACATGAAGGACATGGAGATTGCTGATGTAATACTTGGTATGAAAATTACCAAAACATTAGAAGGTTATGCTTTGTCACAATCACATTACATTGAGAAAATACTTGACAAATTTAGCAAAGATGATGATCATCTTGCTAGAATACATGTGGATGTTAATTTGTTTCTTTCTAAGAATGTACAAGAAAGTATTTCTCAATCAGAGTATGCCCAAATTATTGGAAGCTTAATGTACTTGATGAACTGTACTCGCCTAGATATAGTTTATGCAGTAAGTAAATTAAGTAGATATACGAGTAATCCAAGAGTAGAACACTGGAAAGCTATTATAAGTGTTCTAAGATATCTCCGATTTACTCGTAACATTAGGCTTAATTATACTAGATATCCAGCAGTACTTGAAGGATACTGTGATGCAAACTAGATATCGGATACTAGGGACTCAAAATCCACTAGTGGGTATGTCTTTACTCTTAGTGGGGCGGCTGTATCTTGGAAATCTTCTAAACAGACTTGCATTGCTAGGTCTACTATGAAATCAGAATTCATAGCTTTAGATAAAGTTGGGGAAGAGCCAGAATGGCTTCGCCACTTCTTTGAAGATATTCCAATGTGGCCAAAACTGGTGCCTGCTATATGCATACATTGTGATAGTCAATCAGCAATAGATAGAACACAGAGTCATATGTCTAACGGCAAGTTGCGACACATTCGTTGTTGACATAATACCGTAAGACAACTACTCTCTAATAGAATTATTTCCATTGAATATGTGAAGTCTAAAAACAACATAGCTGTAGACACCCCATTTTTTACTGTCCTTAAGACTTGGGCGCCACTGATTGGATCATTCGATGGTGCAGGCTATGTTATGCAAAGGTTCAATTTCTTCGGTAAGGAGAGCGTCAAATCCTAACCTTACACCCCATTTTTGGGCCAAAACTATTTTTACTAAAATGATTTTTAGACTTTAAAACCCTCTCTTTCAAAATATTTTTTGAAACAAAGTTCCTACGATGTTCCGAGGCTCGCATTTCCTTAAATGTTGCACTTTTCGGTAAACCGAGCAAGGATAAAGTGGAATAAATGAAGAAGATGTGAACTCTTTGGAAAAAAAATCTTTAAAACACCTTATTTAGGGGTCTGGAGTTGAAGAAAATTGGAGGGGAGAGAAGAAACCAAATTGGGGAAGAAGTTGGGCATGAACCGTTAAGAGAGAGAGAGTCGAGCAGCCCTCGCTAAATCAGGGCTATCCGTTTGTACACTTGGATTTCAATTATGAGGCAACCACCGTTGGAAAGTGGACTTCCGGGGCTTCATTTTGCACTCAAGAACCTCCTAAAGCCGAGTCCAGATGAAGGAAATATGCTTAATTGAAGTTGGGGCTAGAAACCAGTCTTTGCTTTCCAGCCACTAGTGAAGCTTGTCGGCCATGTGTCGGCCACTAATGGCCTTTGTCGGCCATATGTCGTCCAAAAGGGGTTCTTGTCATCCACAAAAAGTGGCCGGTCGGCCACTGGTGTCCAAAACTCAGATTTTTTGCAGATATTTTCCCTCCAGCTGTTTTCACATTACTCCAGCTGTCCTAATTCAGATATTTCAACTTGAAGCTCATATATTGCTATATATAGAGGCCATATCTCTCATATTGGAAGGTTAGGAAATTTTGGGAGCCTCTCTCTCTAAAAATCCTCTCTCTCTATAATTCTCTCTCTCTCTTGCCCTTTTGTGCATACAAGTAGAGATACACTTCTCCTTTGCTTAGACATTCTTAACCAAAGTTGCTTATCTTTGGGCTCAGATTGCCTGGGACCTTCTTTGAGCTTTAGAATGTGATTTTAGCTTGATTTGGTGCTTCATTTGTGCCTAAAGTGTGTTGTGCTTCAAGAGGTATAAGACTCACCTTTTAAACTTATTTTGCATAACTTGTTTCACCATCTTTTTGTACTATTTTTAGTTTGATTTTCAACTGCAAAAACCTATGTTTTTCAGTCCTAAAAATGGTGGTTTAAGGCCTTTTTGAGTTAGGGAGTTGTCTCTCCATTTTGTTCTTTAGCTTGTGAAGCTTTTTGTGCCATTTCTTATCACTCTTAAACCAACTTTTTAGACCTTTAAACCACTAAAGTTTAGAGTTATTTCAGTGGTGGAAAGCATGTTTTGAAGTCCAAAATGGGAGGGGTTAGCCTCCCCTTCTTGTGTCTCACTTGCATGCCTAGTTAGCATCACATGGCAGCATGTTTTTATAGCCTAACTTAGCTTATTTGCAGCATATGTTTGCCTTTGATTTGGAATGATTTGGCTCTGTTTTGGGCTGTTTTAGTCATATGAGTCTTGTTTTTCATAGTTGTAGTGCAAATGGCTTCACTAGTTTGGTGTTTTAGGCCTTTACACATTATTTGCTTGAGTTGGTTGCATGTTGTACTGTATTTTTACATGTAATTTCAGCATATAGAGCTCTGTCACATGCTCATTTGTTTCACTCTTTCTTTGCTTTTTAGAGTTGCTCTTGAGTCTTGTTTGCAAGCTAACATGTGAGCATGTTTTTCAAGCATTTTGTGCTTTAATCTTAGCATGATTTTACCACTATTTTGACTGGGCTTAGCTCTATTTTGTGTTGGTTTGGCCTTTTGAGTCTTATTTTGTGTGGTTGTAATGCAATCTCTTTCACTAGCTTAATGTTTTAGGCTTTTAAGCATGAATTACATGAGTTGCTTACATGATTTAGTGTCATTTTGCACTCCATCTCAGCACTGAAATCTCTACAATCTCCCTCTATTCTTCACTTTTTCATTTGTTTTGAAAGTGACTTTGAACCCCTTGTTGGCTTGAGTGTGGAATTGAGACCCTTATGCCTAATGGTTTAATTCCTTCGGGAGTTCATTACCAATAGCATGATGCTTCTTTCATGTTCAAGGTACTTATGGTTTAAGCCCTCTTTCCATTAGAGGGTACTCACCTTTTGGACTAATCAATTAAAGAATGGATTGGTAAGTTAAAATGTGTAAACAAAATGAACTAAGTAAAAAAGACGAGATTAAGCATCTTCGTGTTGCATTGCATGTGTTCGGATCGGACGTTAATCTGAACATGAGAAAATTGGGACGTTTCATACTCCAAGTGATGAAATGTGCCACTTTTCTTGGTCACCGTCACCCTTGATCATACATGATAGGGTGGTGGTTATTTTGGTCTTGTTTGTGCACTCATTAACCTTGTACAAGCTTGGTTCTCTAGCCATCACGCATTGAAAATGCTTGGTTGATGGTTCGAAGGCCAAGAGTTACCCTCCTTTGAGTTTGTGTGATGGTAAGGAGGGCAACAGTACACACATTCCTTGAAAATACATTGCTTTGGCTCTGTTTGCTCTCTGTTGCAGCAAAAGGAGAAGTTCAAGGAAGGGGTGGCCGACCGGCCAGTTTTAGTGGCCGGACCACTTAGAGTGGCCGACCGGCCAGTTGAGGTAGCCGACAACCACTTTTTGTAGCCGACCGGCCACCAGTCAATTTTTGCACAAAATGTGCTCCTGAGTTGGAGTAGAGGCATTCTGGGAGTTGGTACAATTTTCAGTGATTAAACGGGTGCAAACAGAGGCATCCGATGGCAAGGCAATGGCATTTTCGGGTGGATCAACCGAGCATGCATGCGTCCCTCGTCCTCAAGGCCATTTAGTCGCTTTTGTTAACTTAGAATAAGTTAGCTATTTTATTCATACAAGTGTTGTAATTAATTAGCTTAATTCATTTTGTAATATTTTAGCTAGCTTAGAATAGTTAGTTAATTTATTTCAATTGTTGTAATAATTAGCTAGAATAATTAATTAATTTGGTTTGTAATAGTTAGCTTAATTAGTGTAGCTAGTTAGCTTATTCATTCGGACCCTCCTTCATGAGAGTATAATGTTGTAATAAGTGTGCATGCGTGTGTGTATGTCTTCCAACCCCACGTCTTTCTCCCTTTTATTTAACTGCTTTTGATGGTTAGTTTAGGGTCATGTTTCAATTAGCATACCTTATGCTTGCATGTTTGCATCCATTCATTTGACTTGCATGCACCGAGGCTCGACGTATGATTCAAACTGCATTGTCAAATTCAATACTTCTTTGAATACGTGTTTCAAAGCATGCTATCAAAGTGTTGTATATACCATGATTAGGTAGCCAGCCTATCTTATTGCATTATTGTATGTGCTGCATTAGACATTTTGTATAGTTAGGATCATGCATACTTCTAACTAGTTTTTGTTTTGGCTTGGAGCACTCGGTAAGTTTTATGCTTTAGCATGCTTGCATGAGTGTGATTGTCATATTGCCATGTTTCGTATGCTTGCTATGAGGCTATGTGCTTAAATGCTTAACTGCATGAATGCCTGTGGATGAAGGCTTTGTTGCTTGAATTGGAACAGTTTAACGAATGTGAGTTTTAAGCCTACTTTGCGAAGTGACAAATCATATTTTAAGCCCATCATGTTTGATGGCAAATCCGCGTTTTAGCCCACTTGAGGGTGGCAAGTTCAAACCATTTTCGAAAGCAAACATGAGTTGAAATGTTCCAATTCTTGCGATTTTTAGTCTATACTTGCTTGTGTGCGTCATATAGTAAAGTTAGCTAATAACCGGAATAAGAACACATAATATTTATAAAATGACATATCATGATAATAGAGGCTGATCCTTTGATCGGGTGAGCGGAGGTGCTGATTTCAAGACGTTCCCCTCTCATATCTAAGTTTCCGAGCCGAGGCAACTTTGGTGATGATGGACACGTGGCCTTTGGCACGAGTCAGGGTTTCCTAAATTTTCCCAAAATAAAATATTTAGGTGGTGACTCTGTAATCTGGCA